GATAATATAAATCTAATATAAATCCTTTGTTATACCGATATTATATACCGGTAAACGATGAATAATCGACTATTACATTTACGAAAATTGAGAACGTCATGTTTTGCTCGTGCCTTCGTTAAAATTTTAAGCTGGAAAGTTAGGAACGCATAGTTTAAATTTGCACATATACATACAAATTGAAACGCGGTATCGGTTTTAGGTCACGTTTTACAGAATGGAAAATTTCTGTTTGGCAGTTTTCCGAGCGAAATGTGAAAACAAACTTTTGTACCGGTTTGCATGTTTACCCGTAAAAGCGAACGTTGATAGTGACCACAAACCTTTTCTCCATTACAGAAATCCTGGAGGAAGGATTCAACTGATACGCGTCTAAGCCGGAGATCCTGGAAAACTGTGCGACCGGCCAAAGGGCCGGCTAGAAACAGTACCTCTTCTTACTCAAGCAAAGAGGATCAAGAAACCTTATCGTACTTGCCGACGAAGAAAAAGAATTAGAGGAGAGAGAAGGCGACGAGGTGGAAGAAAGAGAGAAAAGGGAAATAGAGGAGAGCAGGGGACCCCTAAACCTAGCCTAGGGAAGATAAGTAACCTGGAGATGGGCGTAGGCAGAAAGATGGAATCCCGGGCGAGACACTCGAAGATCTCGTGATTGGTGTCAGCGCCTGGCTGAGGGGATCAAGGTCGATCACGGAGATCGACCGTGATGGAGGCGAGAGCGAATGACTCGTTCGTCAAGTCGATCCTACGAAACCTCTCGCTGATCCGCGAGCATCGGCACCCGGACGAGCCGCCTGGAAGAGAGGTGGCCACAAACGCTATCGATGTTGTCACCACGACCGTGCAGGAGGAGAAGATGGCGGACTTTCTGGGCGATGCCTTCGCGAGGAATGACAGCGACGTCGAGGGCGGCGAGTCCGGTTGGTTCAACGACTCGACGACCGCCGCCGTCTCGACCCTGTCCGCCTCCTCGTCCTACGCGGACTCCACGTCGTCGTATTCCACCACGAGTGTCGACAACTACACCGGCAGCGTGTCCGACCTTTTCGCCTTCGACGACCTGAGCGACTACATCAACCGACTGAACTACAGCGTCCTCGTGAACCTGACGGCCTACTACGACGACGGCGCGGGTCTGAATTTCAGCAGCGTCAATTGCACGTCGTCGATAGTCGCCGGGGGTGCCGTTAGGCCGGGCGAGTGCGCTGGAACCGCCGGCGTCGACGAGAAGTCTAACGCGAACAGCTGGTGGGCCCTAATACTCGTGATCGTGCCGTGTTTGACGCTCTTCGGTAACGTGCTCGTCATCCTAGCGGTGGTGAAGGAACGTGCGCTGCAGACTGTCACTAACTACTTCATCGTCAGTTTGGCGGTCGCCGATCTTCTCGTCGCGGTGCTCGTTATGCCGTTCGCGGTCTACGTGCTGGTAAGTCGTTAAGTCTTTCACGGAAGCAACGCGAACATTTTATTTTTATTCTATCTTCTATCACTTCCATCACTTTAACATTTACGTTAAAATATCTAACAAGTTTTTGATAATAAATATTATTATCAAACAGAGGTGGTTAAAATCGCTTAAACATTTTTTCAAATATCTCTGAACATCTCGTTTTCCAACGTTTTCCCGAAGGAATAATTACTTCTAGATTTACAATATACTAACATAAGAAAAAAAATAATTATAATCATTAAATTGGCCCTTATTTCATTGCAACAGCTGCATAATTAGGTAATGTTACTTTTGTTGATTATCGCGTTCTAATTATACGAACACGAAGCGTATTGTTGCAGAAATGTATAACGCACGTATATAATCTATTTATCGTTCATCTAACGCGAGTAAAAATTTTAGAGCGATACTTCCGTCACAATTAATCACGTACTGCGTTCGAGCAGAACTCAAAGATTTATCATTCAGCGGTTCTATTTCGCAGTTAATGGAATTAATATTTCTAATTATAGGTCGTTGTATAATTTGTAAATAAGCTGAAAACTTCGGAGGGCGGAGTCTCGCATCGATCGCGAGTTTAGCTGCTAATTAGACTCTATACGTTACACCAGCGTTTGCATGCACTCAATTACCGCCCTCACCTTCAAAGTACACGAGAAAAGAAAATTGAGTAGCGTTTACTTTTAAACACTTTGATCTCGCCAATACAGAGATGTCTGATATTAATACTAGGAATCATTTTTTCCGTTAATTAGAAGAAAAGATAGATCTTTAAAAATTGAAACGACGAGATGCAAATTTGTCAGAGGAATTAAGATTTCAAATTTCCGCTCGATATTTCAACGAAATAAATATATTTTATATATTTATTATACGTGAAGAAGGTGCTCAATGTTTCGCAATTGTCAGAATATTTTGAAATTTGCAAATCAATGAGTTTTCATAGAATAATAAAACAAACAAGACGGTTTTGTTTAAAGCATTTCACTCAACGCAACGGTTCAAGTTCCGTATATGATTCGGACGAAAACAAAATTAGTTCATTAAAGCTATTTGATTAATTCTATGGATCATTGCTGGCGAACTGGCTTGTTGGCCACACAAACGTTGGCTAATACAATTGTTTCTGAATTCGCCAATTGTAACCACTGAAAATATTGGCATTGCATATAGGTAATGCATTTCGCTCGAGAAAGAACTCGAGTACTAAAAATTCGTTTCTTTCAATCCCCAATATTATAAACAACCTTATTGACCACACAAATACCATTCATTATCCAAAAAATACTATTCATTATTTTGGCGTGTATAATTTATCAAATATGTATGTTATTGATCAATAATAAAGCTAAAATTGTTGCACGCCAAATGAAATTTAAATAAATTCTAAAAGGACAAATAATTATTGATTTACAAGTTGTATTTGAGTTGAGAGATATATATATTTATTACAAAATTAATAAAAATAAAAATATTAGTATAATAAATTAATAATAAACCCCTAATTAAAAAGTAACAAACAATTTTAGGAGATAAACTAAATTCTGTTATATGAAAACATAGAGGATTCTTGGTTGCACAAGAGGAAGAAATATATTTAAATATAAGAATGTCCTAAGAACTATAAATTGTAAGACGAAGTGAAACTTTACAATGTAAAACTTTACATTATGTTACGATCGAGACATCGCTAGTTATGATGTCGCGTGGCGATAACGCATAATGCGACAAAGAAAAAGAGAGCTATTATTATTTATAATAACAGCCGTTGGGCATGAGAACGATATAACGCGGCGAATCACCGACATTGAATTTACTCAATGGACTTTCGTGCATTTGGTTTAATCACCAATTAAATACGCGCTGCGGTGACGGTGCTGGAATAGCTGCAATTATGAAAATGATGTCGAGGCTAAATGCTATTTAGCCACGTCTATCAAACTTCCAGTAGTCGGAAACAGTTTTCGCCGACTCTATCATCATAATGTGTAGAAAATGCGTCTATTATATTCTGTATAATTTTTGCTGTTTTTCTGGCACGGCAACGAACAAAGCGAAGTAAAGTAAAAGAAGTTAATTAACATATCCGAGAAAAAGAAGGCGGGCAATATAAATAAAAATGGCCGTAAAGATGGAGATATGAAATCGAAATAGTAAAAACAGGTAAGAGAAAGTTAAATACGGAACAATAAAATTGAACAGTGTGAAAATAAAAAAAACTCGGTAATTACAAAATCAATTTGAAAGGTTAAAGGTCTGTTACGAGCTAAACGCAAACAGAGGTGCGATTGTAATTGAATGTGTAAATGTTTAAAACAAACGATAAAAGATCAATACATGTATAATATAGAAATACACACACAGTTTGAATTTCTCTATATTATAGTAATAAATCAATGATCATAAAATTAAATGCAGCATTAATTAAAATCTTCAATCCAAAAGGTTTTTGCTTGATCAAATTAAATTTCCACTCAAAGGGCAAATTATAATTAAACTTCCTGTTTTCTGTAATAGATATATCCCACGTGATTGATATTTACCGTAATATTAAAAAAAAAAATAAGATAAAGAAGAACAGAGTTATTTATTTTTTAAGATCACATGATAATGTCTTTTTGTGCTTGCAATTATTGTGTCAGAATTTTACTTTTAAGACGAAGCAGTTTCGAATTGCGCCGGATCTTTGTTCCAATCGTTAGCAGGCTATTTGCTTAACCCGACACGTTTCGCGTAGATTACATCGCACGTCTACACGTGATCTTATTTTAAAGTCGTCAGTGACACCAGAAAACGCGTTTTGTTCTCGACGCACGTCTTTACAAACGCGGAACTGAAACGGAGAAGAAACGGGGACGGGAGGGGGAAGGGGATGACGCGGGAAAACACGAACAAACGGTAATTTTCTTGAAATGGAAAATCCCGACGCGCGCGGTCCCATAAACGAGTCGCTCGACCCGACCTCGGTCCACGATCTCGATTTTGGCGGCTATACGCCGACCGGATTGAACGAGACAAAAAGTGCGATCGGTCAATTAAGGACTACGTTCGTAATACCGCGTGCGAACGTTCGTCAATGCAATTTTTGTGCATATCTGCACGGAACCTACATTTCCTGCGGCACGCAACGTCACCGTAATTGTGCGTGCGCGTGCAAAATATACAGACACTGTGTGTATTTTGCGTGGGAATTGTCGACAAAGACAGATTGCTGAAAAATCCGAGGTGAAATTTGTTTTCTCTGCCGCATCACGGAATACGCGACAGCGTATTCCCAGATTGCCTCGGTAATTAGAGTCAGGAAATGACTTTCGGAGGCTTGATTAAATTCTTTTTTCTAATTCGGTGAAATTTAAATTTGCTAAAAATTTCAGTAGCATTACTTTAGAATTTTTAACGAATAGTTTATAGTTATTATACATTTGGCCCGATAGAGTATTAAGCAATTTCTACGTTGATGGAGTTTCGCTCACTCAATAAGCATCCCATGTCACTGTACCAGAGTTAAATAACGACTTCGACCGAATAATTTGCTGGTTTCGAGATTGAGTTAGTACGAACTGTAACTACAATTTTCGCATTAACATGGACGCCCATGTAATAACTGGATGCTGTATCTCGGAGGAAGTTCACGACCGTAATCGATAAATTTCTAATGGTCGGCGGAGACCTATGACTGCCGACTACCCATTAATTTTGCAATGGGCAGAGAGATGAATGTCCCATTTTAATTGCAACTTAAATAATCCCATCTCTCGGCAGGCACTCTGATATATATCCTTGACATTCCGCCGAATGGCGATCAGCGCCGCGTCCGATTATATCGGTATGATAAAATCAAGGCGCCCATCTTCATCCTAAGTGCAAACACAGCGAAACGTGCCAGGATCGTCCTTCGGCTGCTTAAATGGTCGTTCCGGAGTCTCGCATTAAACGATTTACTAGCGGTGGCATATGTGTATACGCCGCGCGACGAAAGCGTCGTTGTTGGGTTCGGGGCACTTTACGCTCTCCGCAGTGTGCTCGGTGTGGCAGCGCGTCATCCTCCCTTTAACGACGAGTGAAAAATGGCTGCTTTCAGCGCGTTTGCACTTCAAATTCCTTCAGCTATATGCTTCCGCGACGATATTCCGCGAGGTCTCCGTAGCTAAGTCGTAAGTTACGATCCCCCGTGCTCAAACAATCTTGTCATTCCAGCCGGTAAAAGGAATGCGTCAAAAGAAAATTTGATATTTCTCTCCTAAAAGGGAATTGGTCCTAAAGGATTTATACATTAAACTCATTGAGAAGATGATTGCATTATACTTATAGAGAAATACGAAAGGTCTTGAATTAATTTATCATGGAGAATTCAGCGTTATTCTATTTTGTATTAACAAAATTTATTTATTAAAATAATTCAATTCAGTAAATACATGTTTAATGATGTTGGGATATACAATTTATGGTTTTATCATTTTAGTTATATTTTGCATTATATATATTTTTATTTTAGATCTTGTGGATCGAATATTTAAATTTTCTAAAGCACATTTTGATAAATTAAATAAAATTTACTTTCCTCAATTGCATTTGTTGGTTCCATTATTTATTATTATTTTATCGTTACAATTTTATTAACGTCTATTAATTTTCTAAGGAACTGGCTAAGAAACTCTCGCGTGTCATATGCAGAACGCGTCATATTCTTGTTAAGCCCGCAACCTTAATAACCCCCCGTTATCTCTTTTACCGAGTGGCGTCACTTTTTTTACGATTTTCGTCGCGTAATGTCGCAAGTCACCGTTCTCTAATATAACGTAAAAAAACGACGATGCTCGCGCGCAACGCGTTTATGCACCGAATTCCGCGAGATATCCGCGTTCTTCGCGAGCAACCCCGTTTCCAGTTTCCAGCTGAAGGCGCCGGGAACTCACGTTCTCGCCATTGTTGCAGGACAAACAGAATTGCAGGCATGCCCTTATCGATACGAAATT